TACTTAAAATTAAAAGACATGCAAGATCCATCATGAGATGAATTCTGAATTAATAACTAAAACCATCTTTTACCAGTGCATTGCTACCATGAACCATTCTCTGATAAGTAAGAACCAAGCTTTATGAAATGTAGGTAAATCCTTGTCAGGAAGGTAAGACAAATTAAGTTCACCAAGCATTCAGCACAAGAGGTTATTTGTCTTGCCTTTTCTGGCACATGCTTATTATAAAACCACAGGTAGCCAACGTTTACCATCAGTAAAACACAACTACATGTTTCTTCACCTGTTTGGCACAAGGATAAAACCAGTTTGATCCTTATGCTTGCAAAGTTCCCAAATGTTGCTAAGTGTGACTGAAAACCCATTACTATTCAGCTGCTATCCAGCTACGAAGAAATAAAAATTTAGATTCAAAATAATATATAATAATATAAAGGCTTATTGGGATATACTTTTTAAAGCAAAGTATATCCTAATATTGCTATGGATATTAGCAACCATCCTAAAAGACTGAAGTGTTGTTTTACTCTCTGAACATCGGAATCCAGCTTTCAAGATGCAAAGTACTTAAAGTTTACTTCTAGATTTATAGTAGTAGTAAAAACAATTCACAAGGGAAAACTATTGGGTAACAAATTTCTCCAAGGAAAAGATGAAATTACTTAAAACTGTTGGGGATTCTGGTGATTTGTCTGATAACCACAGTTTTTTGTTCTCAAACCATAAAAAAGTGTATGGAATAGTGTTTGAAATAAATAAAATACATAGTCATTTAACACAGATCATGTCTTGTCTGTTACAAGCACACATTCATTTGAAATATTTCCCCAAAGTATTTTCCACTTTAATATATTATATTAGTAAGTAGAATGAAGGAGAAATTCTAGGGAAAGATTGACTCAGAAAACCTTTGATATAAGACCATTCCAACCTAGAACCTGGGAACCACGTTCCTTCCTTTCACTGTGCGATGGGACTAACGTCTAACCAGGCACCTAATGGGGTTCATTAGTAGGAATATTGTGAGATCTGACTTCACAATACACATTTAAGGCAGAACACACAATACCCAATTATACAGGCATAACATCCAAAGACCTGACACATTTTCCCACAGTTGCTATGCAAAATACCCCATTGCAAAAGGTGCTCAAAATGTGATCACCACTGCAAAAGAAACATTTGTGCGTTAGTCTTTTTTCTTTTCCCTGCAGCTTTCAGCAGGCCTTTAGAGGCTTCAATAAGCAGTAACAAGGACTTAGCAAGCTGGTCTTTTAACCAATAAATTAATTCACTTGAAAGTCGTACTTTAAAAGAATCAGTAGTGTATATGCTAAGAGGGAAAGTTCTGCTCACTTTTGAGCAGCTGTGGCTGTCCGTATGGCCCTCAGATGTCTAAGGCTCCACGATTCCAGAGTCATCATCTACAAAACCATCTGGGAAGTTCTGATACTCTGAATGCAACCTTGATCCAAATAGGCTGAAATACACACATGTAACAGACTGTTACCATCCTCTGTCATTTTCAGCTAATAATAATGAAGAAGAGGAAGGAACACAATCTCTCAAGAGAATAAACTTAAGTGACAGATTCACACTAAAATAATCTAGATGACTGTATAAATGCAAATTAAGACTCACTTTCTGTCTTGAAAGCATAATGTCAAAAAAAATGAAGCAAAGGGAATCATTAATTTATTCAAATAAAACAGAGAGGTGATTCGGAAAGAAATATCACTATAAGGTTGTGAGAAAGGTCAGTATCTTAAAACACAATGAAAATTGGTAAACTTTCTATGAGACCATTATTTATGTTTTTGTGAATCTGTGTGTCATCTAAAAATAAACAAAGCATTTATTTTTAGGCTCCAACTAATTTGAAAAAGTAGCAAAAGGAAGAGGGATTATTTTCAAAAATTGACTGTTAAATGATCTTTTTTTAAAGTACAGTACTGATAAACTACGGCTTACTTAGAGGTCATACTTTTAGGTATTACATGTCTTGAGATAGCTTTTTAAAATACTGTTTATGGGAAAGTTAAGCTCAAACATATATATATATATGTAATAATTCTTTTACCTATGCATAAATAATGTAAACAGAAGCTATGAAAATGACTCAATATATAATCTAATTTATTTCTACAATGAGCTTTTTGCCAGTTACACAATGCCATGACTTAACTCCTTACTGAACAGTTAGGAAAATAAAATGTAACTCTGTAAACATTATCAGCACCAACATACTGCACACTGGAGCAAAATAAAGCAAGATATATTCAAGTAAAATCAAATTCCTAAGTCATCTTTACTCAAATTCCAAATCTTTCTATTTCTCTCCAAATTAAGAAAAAGAGCTACATTAAATTCCACTCTGTTTTTTTGTCTTTCAAAAACAGACCCATAATATATGACAAAGGTAAAACTATTTCCTTATATATCACATAATAGATCTTATGAGAAAGCCAGTAATAGTTACATATATATATATATATATATATATATATATATATATATTCAATCAATACATAACTTTAATATTTAAAAATATATCCTATTATCATATCACCCCATTATTTCTAATGGAGACAATAATGGAAGTTATTTTACCTAACTCACAAAAACAGATGAAGATTTTGTGTGGTGCCAGAGGTATATCCAATTTTACTGGTCTTCAAGAAAATTAATACAAAATTCCTAATTGGGAAGTTAGGTGTGGAATCTTGGAAGGGGCTGAAGCTTACATTTATTTCCTTAACTTCTCAGGAAGTTTAATATTTCTCTAACTATATTGCATAATACCAAAGTATGGTTACCTATAATCACATACTTCCTCTCACTCTCTGATACTTTGACCTTTAATTTCCTGTATTTTCATAACTTGTACCTCAATTATAAGAGATCAACATTTGCAAAGGTCAAAGTCACTCCCTTTCTTAGTATAACATTTAACTGCAAATTGAGATAAAATAATGAGTTTCCTGAAGACTGATCACAGTTCATAAAGAATTCAGTTATACTATTATACTCATGTTAACCATCTGTTGATATATCAAATAGCAATTGGGGAAACAATTTTACCAGACACTGTAAGATGATCTGGAAATCTGTTTCTATGTGCATATTTTAGTGTTAGAGAAACTGCCATGCATTGCTAATGTAACCTAATAAACTGTCCTAATTCTATGCCAGCAAGACTGGGCAGCACCACCTAAATTCACAAGCATGACTACATGAACACTAGAATTCCTGGATCTGGAGCCAGCCATGCACCTTTAATCTCCTAAAGAAAAGCAAGAACAGGGTTTACTTCTGGCTCACCAAATCTCCATTTATAATAGCCTAATTTTCTTCATTTGATCAAAGGAAAATAATCTAATGCTTTCAAAATATAGTCAAAATAATATTAAAAGAAAAAATATGTTCTGCAAATATTCATAGCTGTGTGAGGAAAATAATCTTTTAAATCAATCTATGTTTTAGTTTTGGAAGACCTAGATCTTTTAAATTCATTCAAATATTTGAGTCACTTTTTACTAAAAGAAGAATATATGAAAATAGTACATGTCATGTTAAACTGTAATGGACATTTTTATTTTTTGTGTTACAACTTACAATGTGTGTGCAAACATATTACTATGCACACTGGTGCAAGTGTAATGCATGTAATACATGTGTGCAAACATGCATATATGTCTAAAAATGGGAAAATTTTACTTTCATATGAATATGCATATGCAAGTGGGCAGAGAATTTTTGAAATAGAATTTACCTGCTATCATTTTGATTAAAGAAACACTATGTCTTCTCAGTCTATATCCTAAAAATAACATGAAGTACAACTTATCCTCCATCACACTTTTAAAAAATGACTGGCTAACTTTCTGTCTGGTTAAAATGGCACTACAAATTTAACAATGCAAAAATCCTTTTGAGGAAAAGAAAGAACAGTGAATGTGCTTTTTGACTAGGCTGTAGAATGATACATTTGGAGAAACATGCAAGCCCAAAATAAATAGGGTGATGAGACGAATCTGCTACCGTGGATACAAGCACATGAACCTCAGGAATAACCTGGAACAACACACATTTCTTCGTGAGATTGTACCGGACTTTTCACTGAGCAAGAAAAAGCTTAAGAAACATCTGCTTACTTAGATCTTGTGGATCTAGACAATATCAAATAGCAATACAGGAGGTTTTTATTTTACCTTTAGCAATATATCTTTGGGAGAAATGTGAACAAATGAACCTATATATTGAAAATAGGGGTTACATATCAAGTTTGGAAACCTATGAATTCACTTAGAGACCTAACTACTTCTTGGGTATATAGTAAAGAGCAAAAGTCAATGAGTGAATTCAAATTGCTTCAATTATAAATCAGTACTTCTCCTTCTGACAATTGTCTATGAACTCCAATGTCTGGTGTTAATGATTTCAATTTGTACAATTCTTTGAAGTTTTCTTATTTTCAAAGAGGAAAAAGTTAGGGATGAAACTATTCTGGTCATGACTGAACATTAAAGTTAGACGTATATAAATAAATGTTAAAATTGCTCACCCATATATTACTCTTATTTGAAAATTCCATAGTATTTTCTAATTCTGACGTAACAACACCTGTTTAAACACCTGCAGTTTCTCCTCTTTTCAATAAACTCATTGTCAGTTTTGTGAGATGAATGATACTTGAGGTAAAGAAATTCCTAATGAAGCTAGTTTGAGAAGTAAAATTTTTTTGAAACATCAATAGTAAATCTTATTTAGCAGTGACATTTCTTCGTCAATTTTTTGTAAAGCTGTGCCTCTTCCTAATTAATCAGGACAGTTTTATCTGGAAAGATATTTTAACAGAATATAAAATGGATAAAGGAAACGCACAAACCATCAAAATTTATCACTATGTAAAAACAGCCATGAAATTGAAACAAAATTGTTCAGAATTACTAACATTGCATGTAGATATAATTATAGAGATGGGCTTAATAGTTTGCCTAATCTCTTTATTGGTAATTTCTGTCATGTTCATACTATAAGTTGAAGGTTTAAAATTCATGTATTTAGATATATTCACCAAGGATTAAATTATTAGTGAAAGAGGTGGGCAAATTTCCTGATCAAGTGAACCAAGGCAAAAAAAATGATATATTATTCATGGAACTTCTTGAGCATGGCTAAAAAACTATCTAAACTAATAAATTCTCAAGGATTTTTACCCAAACATTATTTCTCAACATAAACAATAGCCCCTAAAAACTCGTCTTTAAGGTATTTCAAGAAAATGAGGCATATCCCCCGTCTTTTGTTCTAACGCTCTGGGTAGAAGCCATTTAAAGATAAGTGATATCCAAGTTGGTGTCTAAGGGAAAGCAATGCAATGCCGACATAAAATAAATTTCTTTCTTTCCTCCTTGCAATAATAATGACATACGTTCTTTCTTCAGAAGAATAGAAAACACTATTCACAGTATAGACATCTAGGGTAGGTAAATCCATGTTTACAAAAAACCCATATATACAGAGAACATCTCAGTCTTCAATTTGAAGGCTCTTAGTTACAATAACATACATGGCAAAGAATGACCACTAAAGTCATAGTCCATTCCCTTAGTCTTTTTTCCTAACCCCCACAGGTGGGCATCAGCAACTCAAGAATTGGGAGAACTCATGGTACAATTTGCGTATTAGATTTCTACAATTACGTGGAGTTATAACTGAATTTCTCAGAAATTAGTTTGAACACACTTAGAAGATACAAATAGAAATAACTGACTCCTTCTGCCCATTGCCAAAGATGCAATTCTCTGGATTTCCAAAAAAATGAAGAAAAGATCCATATTGCAGCTCTGCCCTTTGACAGATTGCCAAGGTTGTAATATTAGTTCATAATTTGTGGCCATCTTCTCCGGGTACAACTTCCAGTATTATCTGTAACGTTCTCGTTACTCTATCTACAAAGACATAAAGAAGAGAAATTAAAATTCATGGAAGTAAGAAATGCAGAAATCTAAAAAAATATGAATTCTTTTGGGTTGAACACTGAAAATACACAACCACCTATTTCACAAAGCACTTCCAAGAATTATTTCCTTCATTAGAATTCCATCATGCTCAATTAATTTACTTGTCACTTCTGCAACTTCCCACGATGGCTTCTCAGCAAGAATACATTAATATTTTGCATTCAAATAAGGACTTTTATTCATGAACCAAGAGACTGAATCTATTAGAGACAATAGAACCAAGATATAAATAAATGCTTAAAAATGTATTTCATGTTCCATTTAAAACTGGTTTGTTCTTTTTATACCTATGAGACCACCACCAGTTCTTCAGAAAGATCAGAAGATATCATTTTCAGTCTCTAACTTGTAATATTATTGAACATATCACCTTACCTTCCAGTGCCTCATCTTTCTCATAAGTTATAGGTTAGTGGTTGTCAAGGTGTGGTCCCCAGACCAGCAACATTAGCATCACCAGAAATATTAGAAATTAATTTTTCAAGCTCAGTCCTAAACCTATTGAATTGGAAACTGAAGGTGGGGGATAGCAATCCCTGATTCTGGCAGACACTATACTGCAAGAACCTCTGGATGAATGGTTTCTAAGGTCATTTTATCTCAACAGCCCTAGAACTCTGTGGCACTGGTTTCCAAAACATTCTTGTTTGCCTCTTTGTCATCAACCTCTATATGACCTCTTCAAATTTCTACTAATCCTGGAGCAGCCAAAAGTCTATCCTTTTGGTGGTTTCAAATCCAATTGTTTCTCATCCAGATGGATGGCCTTTCTTCTCATTTGCGATTGTTTTTATAACAGCACCTTGCAAACAATAGTTAATGATACTAAGCTATTTTTTAATTATTTGTTGTATAGCTATGTTCCCCCGAGTTATTTTCCTCAGCATATTACATTTTTAATCTGCATTAATTGTAAAGGGCCCAACAACTGGCACCAGGCCAACAAAGAGCAAATTCGATGTAAGTGTGTCTTAAATTGTATCATGTCACACATTCTTTCCCTTGATTACATAAAGAAACATTTGCAAGCAATTAAGCTTCATTAACATAAAAAAGAAACAGTAAACTTATCCTATAAAATTAGACTTTTGTGAGAAAAGTAAAAATCCACAAATAATAATGGAGATGTGCCTTTTGTAGGCACACAAGAGGATAGGGCTCTCTGAGAGTAGGTTTAAAAAAAACTAAGAGGTCTTATACACCTACAAAGTCAAAGAAAAGCAGAGAAAGCACCTCCAGCCCTTCCTACCTGGCAAAGTCCTGCCACAGCCTCTTGAACTATCTTTACATGACCACCTTTTTTGCTCAGCCTCTGTTCTTCCACACACAACATAGAAGCCGTTTTCATGTTTTCCTATATTCTGAGACCCCCTCCCAGTCCCCTGCCTTCTGAGACATCTTTCTTCCCAATATCATAACACTGCATCTGTTCCAGACAAACAGGGAGTAACTTGGACCTGGCTGCTTAGCTAGTGTACCATTCTCCTTCCTGAACGCTCAATTTAGATTCCCCATTTGACACAGCAGCACACAGAGAGCCAAAGAACCTCTCTTCTGATTTAGAACACCCAGTCCTTTCTCTTCTTCTATGTTTAACCAGCCTGTTTCACTTTCCATCCCCACTCTTGGGATCCCAAGAGTGGAATAATTTTCATCATAATGGAGCACTCTGCAGTGATTGACTTTAGCCTTGAATGCTTGTTGGAGTTCCACCAACTTCTCCTTCTAGGTTATCTTACAGCAGTGGGGACAAAAAGGGGTGCTTAACAGAGCCAAGTAAGCTCTGGGAACCAAGGGAAGCTTTGTGCTTACCCAGGGAACCTGTAGAGCATGTGACTTTCGAGAGCCATGTGTACATCCATGTTCATATTAAGGACTGTCGCTTTGGGATAAGCAATCTCATGTTACCACTTCTTTAGAAAAAGGGAAGCCAATGAAACTACGTTTGAAGTCTTCGGTAACTGCAGTCTACAGGGCCTAATAGCAATTGTAGTATTTTTAGTTTTACCTTTCATGTTCAGTTGTTATTCTTAAAATAAATTGGAACAACTGACCTTCCAAAATTGGGTTTACCTAATCACACCTGGTCCCAGCATAAGCGCCACAGCCAAAATTGAGTAAGTTTGTGAAGTAATGCGAAGCTAACCTGCCCTAGAAGTTATAGCAAGAATCATAAGGAAATTTCAACATGGTGGAATGGAGACACCCAGCACTTTACTGCAACTCCACAAATTTGAAACCAAATATCAGCAGCTTGGCTGCAGGGAGAGAGGGGTGGTGTAGCAAGGTACAGAACGAAACAGTAGGCAGTGGACAGTCAGAAACCAGGTGAAATCCAGAAATATTGAACTTTAAGTTTACAAAAGAAACAACAGCCTGTAATGTAAAGTGATAAGTAAAATGGGAAGGAAAGGATGGAACCTCCACCCTGTGCCAAGTGCAGCTGCAAGCAAAAGAGAAAAATAAAGCCTTAGGAAGTTCCACAGGCACACAACCAGGCTGTCTGCAAAAAGAAGATAAAGATGGAGAGCTATATGCCATGTAGCCTAGGGACACAGGAGAAGGGCTCTGTACCTCCTACTAGCTTGCTGGTGCTTGGGAAGGGAATAGTCTTAGGAGAGTACAGCCAAACCTCTCCTCTGGAGAGAGCAGAAGTCCCTAGTTTTACATCTCCAATCTCCAAAGATTCTCCCCCTTCCCACATTCACTGGCTAAGCAAGTAACTACCCCAAGAATTAGTGTGGACCCAGAAAACTGGTTGTGACTCAGATTCATAGACCTAGATTGACTTGGGTGGGAAGTGTGAGTCAGAGCTGCAGCCTGAAATCTGGTAAAAGAGAGAGTATGTGACTATGACAAGGACACTAGGGCAGATCACCAAGGCTAGGCACACAGGGTCATCAGAACCCCATGTTTTGCCCAGCCAGCACAGATTGCTTTCATTTGACTGCTTCATAAACTCTCAGAAGTCTGGAGAGGTTGGTGGAAAGCAGCTACTGCTCCAGAATTTCCCATACCAAATTTCATGAGAGTACTAAACTAGTTAATGAGAATTAGGAAAGAAACAAACATAATAAAATAATTAAAATAAAAGAATCAAATACAATAAAATAATAAAAATAATGGTAGAAATTAATGAAAAGAAGACTATAAGAATAATATATACAATCAGTGATACAAAGAATTGTTTCTTGGAAAAGATAAACAAAATTGAGAAATCTTTAGCCAAACTGAGAGATAAAGAATACCTAAATAAAGTTAGAGACGAAATAATGGATTTTACAACAGATACCAATGTAATATAGAGAGTCATCAGGGAATATTTAGAAATATATACTCCAATAAATTAGAAGTTCTAGAAGAAATGGAGAACATTCAAGACATATACAATCTACCAAAATCGAGCCAAGAAGATCGAAGTAACTTAAGTAGATCTGTAGTAAGCAAGAGATTGAAACAGTAATGAAGAGTCCCCCAACAAAGAAAGCCAGGACCTCTGCTGAATTCTATAGATCCTTATAGAAAAACTAAAACCAATGCTCCTCAACCTAAAACAGAAACAGAAGGAATGCTACTAACTCATTCTACAAAGCCACTATTACTCTGATATAAAAACTGGATAAAGACATAGAAATATTTTTAAAAGACAAAAACTATAAACTAATTTTTTCTGGTGAACATATTCACAAAAATTCTCAATAAAACATTTGCAAAACAAATTCAGCAACACATTAAAAAGCTCATATACCATGATCAAGTTGTTTTCATTCCAGGGATGGCAAGGATGGTTCAACATACACAAATCAATAAATGTAATGGATCACATAAATAGGATCAGGGACAAAAATTGCAAGATCAATTCAATAAATGCAGGAAAAGATTTTGACAAAATTCAATATCCCTTCATAATAAAAACCCTAAAGAAACTAGTAAGCCACTAGTAAGTGGCTATACCCCTATAATCCCAGCTACTAAGGAGACAGAGATCAGGAGGATCTCCTCTAAAATCAGGACTGAGATAAGGGTATCTACTCTCTCAATTTTTATTCTTAAATTCTTAGCCAGACCAATAAGTCAAGAGAAAGAAATAAAAGGGATATAAACAGGAAAGGAAGAAGTCAGATTATCTCTATTTGCAGATGATACAATCCTGTTCTTAAAAGACCCTAGAGACTACACAGAAACCTCTTATATCTGACAAACACTTTCAATAAAGTAGTAGGCTAGAAAATGGGCATATAATTTCTACATACCAATAACAAATATGCTGAAAAGAAATCACAAAATGATCCACATACAATAGCCTCAAAAATAATTACCTAGAAAGAACCCAACCAAGGAGATGAAAGACCTCTACTATGAAACTATAAAATAGCAACAAAAGAAACTGAAGATGATTGTGGGGGTGGGGAGAGGTGGCCCAAATAATTATGCATATGTAAGTAAATGTAAAAATGATAAAATAACAGTGAGAAAAAAAGAAAATTGAAAGACTATAGGTTCACATCAGCAGAATGAGTAACGTAGTCATGGCTGTATTACAAAAGTGATTTACAGATTCAACGTAATCCCCATCAAAATTCCAATGACATACTTCACAGAAATAAAAAAAATCCTAGAATTTAAATGGAAGCACAAAAGACTCCAAATAGACAAAATCATTCCGAGCAAAAAAGCAATCCTACATGTATCACAATTCCTGGTTTCAAAGGAGACCACAGAGCCATAGCAGCAAATGGAATAGAAGACCCAAAAATAAACCCATGTACCTACAGCCATCCAATTTTTGACAAATGTGCCAAAAACATGTTAGAGAAGGCACCCTCTTTAAAAAATGGTGATGAGAAAACTGGATACTTACATGTAGAAGACTGAAACTAGATCTCTATCTCTCACCCTGTACAAGAATTAATCCAGACTGAATAAAGATCCTAATGTAATGCACATAATAATGTACATATTATTCATACATATGCACATAGGAATAATAAAACAATAAAAAAGAAAAGGACAAAGTAAATAATAAAATCTAAATAACATTTAAAAAAATAAATAAAGGCCAATTCTCTTTTCAACAACAACAAAAAAAAAAGAACTGAAATTTTGAAATTACTTCAGGAAAAACACTTCAAGATGTAGGCATAAACAGCAACTTTCTGAGCAGGATTCCAACTGTTCAGGAAAGAGCAGCAAGAATTGACAAATGGGGTCACATGAAATTTAAAATGAAACAAATACCAGAGTGAAGACACAACCTGACGTATGGATGCAAATCTTTGCCAGCTACTTATTTGATGATTTATTTATGAATTAATACCCACAGCACATAAAGAATTAAAAAATTAAACACCCCCAAAACCTAAATAATACCAAACAATAAATGAGCAAATGAAGTTTTCAATAAAAGTATAAATGGCAAATAAATATATCAAAATACATTTGGCATCTTTAGCTACCAAGCAAATGCAAATCAAAACTAAACTGAGATTCCATCTCACACCCCCACCCCATCAGAATGGCAATCATGAAGAAACCAAGCAGCAACGAAGGCCGGTAAGAATGCAGGGTTGGGAGTGGGATTAGGACAGATTGTAGAGATGAGGGTCATAGTGGGGGAAGAATTTAAAACACTATTGGTGAGAATGTAATTAGTCTAGCCAGTATGGAAACTGCTATGCAGATTCTATGAAAAAACCTACAAACAGAAGTTTGCCATATGACTCTGCTGAAGCACTTCTGGCTCTATAACCAAAAAAATCAAAATCAGCAAAGGAAACGGTGTATGTGCACAATATAGCATTACTCAGCCATAAAGAAGAATGAAATTGTGCCATTTACAAGAAAATGGAAGGCACTGGAGATCATCATGTTATGTGAAAAAAGCCAGATTCAGGAAAGCACATATTGCATGTTCTCTCTCATTTGTGTAATCGAGACTTAAAAAGACATGAAAGTAGAATGGGAACTATTTGATCAGAGTGGGGAGCCAGTAGGAAGAGCAAAGGGGACAAGAGAGTGATGGGGGAGTGAATATAATCAAAGTAAGCTGCATACATGCATGAAAATGTCATAAAATATTGATTACTTTGTAGAACTTTTTTTAAAAAATGCCATGTTCTCCCCCTCACCTCCCCACCCCCGCCCAGAAGGTTTCCACACTTTTCCATTGCATGGTTTCATTTTATCCCTTCAATGAAGAATGATCTTTTATAATCACAGATTTGGTGATTTCAGTAAGTCTGTCCTCCATGTCTCTCCCTGATCAAGATGGACCCACTCCAGCCACCCAGCTCACTCTCAGCTGTGACAGGGCTAGGCTGATAAACACAGGCTACCAAGTCAAGAGGCTTCTGGAAGCCCAGGCCTGGTTTCCTGGGTCCTGCTACCTCTGAGTTTGCATATGTCGGTGAGGTATCTGCTCCTTTTCTTTGCCTGAGAAGCACATGTATCTATAAACAAGTAAATAATAAGAACAACCATCCAGAAGAATTAACCGCTGTGTTACAGATGACAGGAAAAAGCTCTCTAAGTAGCGATCCCCTTAAGGGTACATTTTCTTCTCACACTTGGAAATGCTAGCACACAAAAAGTGATTCAATACTGGCACCTTGTGGCCAGAAAAAGTCATCAAGTCTCTGAAAAAATCTCACATGCTCTAATATTCTCAGGCTGTTTGTACCAAGCAGCCTTTCACCCATTTTCTGAATGCAGCTTGGTCACCTCTCGTGTTTCACTGTAACAGCCCAGGAAAGATGTATTTTGATGAACTTTTATTTTTCCAGGGCTAATTTACTCGAGTATGCTAAGGTTAAAAAAAGAAAGAAAACCTGGTAACATAAAAGCAAGAGGATTTTACCAAGCAAAACAATGTGATGTTAAAATCACTGGCCAACTGCTCCTAGCAGACTCTTGGCCTCCAAGTTCACGTGGAGTTTCTCTAACAAAAAGTGTACATCTTCTCGAGAAGGGCCCTGGTGGTAGTTAGACTCTATTGTTTTTTCTGTCTGTGCTATTTTGTTTTGGCCAAAGGCTAAGAAAATACTTTCTATTGCAGCAATAAATATTATGAATTTTCTTTATTTTACCACAAGAATGCTACCTAAGAGGAAAATCAAACAAAATTACAGAGGATTGTTGCTTTTCGTCACTCTCTTTCAAGGCGGCTATAAAGATAAAGAGTTACAATGATCACGGTTTAAAGCAAAATGGCCTTGCTCCCTGGAAGACTCAATGGCATTTTTGAGAACCAAATAACCATTCTGGGACCACTCCATGGCTGCTACTTTCACGAATGGCTAACACTAGATTCAGAGGCCTCAGACATGTTCAAAACATCATTAGAGACAGAAAAATAGGAAAAACCTCCAAAATTACATGAACTTGGAAAGACAAGGACGAAAGAAGCATGAAAATTGTTTGTTGTATGAACTGATGAACAAGTGGGACCGAACACACATGTCAGCAAGGGGGAAGAACTTTTAAACTTGGCTGACTACAAACAGGAAGCAAATTCTCTCCCTTGTCCTTCTTCATCCTGCTCCCAAACTCAAGGACTCCTAGCTGTTTCCTCCCAGATGCACTTGTTTTTCTGTGGTGCCAGTCTCTCTGGACATGGATCTCACGGTGATGAGTGGTACTCTGTCATAAACCTTCAATCTAATTGTGAATGTTGTCTAACAAGACTTTCCCATTCAGAACAGCCTCTATAGTCAGTATCTACAACAGAGAAAACCTAACTAAAAATATTCTACACAAAGCAAGTATGATTTAACAGGAAATAGAGATCACATACTCAGAGTAAACACTGCATCTGTGTTATTCTTTACAAACCTAACTTGCATAGAAACATCTCTTTGGGAATAGTGTTATCAGCTAGAACATAACATCCAGCAGAAATAGTGTTCTCAGGTCTAAAGATACCAAAAGGCAATTAAAACTAAAGAAGAGTAGTAACAAAACTGCTTTAAATGACTGACTACTAAATGAGTTGTATAACACATTACAAGTTCAACACACATGCACACACACACACACACACACACACACACACATCAAAATTTTTTTTTAAACTAGCAATCATTACTTCTCTATTTCTTAATGATTTTACCAACAGTCTTCTCTCTCTTTCTCTCTCTCTTTTTTTTTTTTAACAGTATTAGGGCTTGAATTCAGCATTCTATCCCTTGAGCCACACCTCAGCCTTCTCCCCAGACTTTTAGCTGGGCTTTTGAAAATTAACTCTGGTAACCTAAATAAATGAAAACAAAGTAGAAAGCAAAGGGAACTTGGGATTCTAAATTCACCAATCTCACAAACAAAAATATGTCTGCTCTTCTGTCTATATTTTACAGTCCATAGCCCTCCCTTCTGCTACCAGAGACCCAATTTACAACATGGATATTGTGGTTTAGATAAAAAATATCCCCAAAGGCTCATATGTCTTATTCCCCAGCTGGTGGCACGTTGAGCGGTGACTGGATAAAAAGGTGCTAACCTCATTGATGGATCACTCCCTTGATGAATCCATAGCTAAATAGGCTAATAGAAGGTGGAGCCTGCTTATAGGAAGCGAGTCCCTGAGGGAGTGATTTTGAAAGGTGTGTCATGTCTCGTCTCTATCATTTTTTGCTCTGTCACTCTCTCTGCTTCCCAACTGCCATGAGCTCAGCAGCTCACTCTATCAAGTGCTCCATGCATGATGTTCAACCTCATTTTGGACCCAAGAGTAATAAAGCCATGGAGTGAAACCTCCGAAATCAGGAGCCAAAAATCTTTCTCCTTTTAAGTTATTTTGATCAAGTATTTTGTCATAGCAATAAAAAAAGTAATTCATTCGGAAGTATTGCAGATGTGGGTTCAAATCCTAACTCTATGGTTAAAAATCTGTACATTAAATTATCTTCCTGAGCCCTGGTTTTCTCATCTGGGGGCCAGAGGAGTAACATGACCTCACGCCTGGATCTTGTTGAGCACTGACTGTGATGAAGATGTGGGGAAGAGCTTGAGAGGCCCCTGACATACAGATGGGCTTCAACACAGGCTCATCTTCCTACCTACTCGTCTGTTGCATTCTCTCCTAGCCCATCTCAGCTGGTCACCAAGGTCTGCTGGTTTCCTCTTATACACCTTGCTCTTTCAGACTCTGCTGACATGACCTTTGTTCAAATTCTCCTCAGTTCTCATCAGTATTAATGCAGAAATCATCAAACTCCATCCTCTTTCTTCATTCCTAATCTAATCCATCTTCACAGAGCCACAATGCATAGGGTGCCTTTTCTAAAACGCAAAAGTGCCTAAATTTTGAGTTTCTGCTCTTAGACCTCATTCATTTGTATGACTTGAAAAGAGAGACATGAATTCTCCCATGCCAGAACTCAAAATCCTACCTCAGGAAGCTCTTTAAAGATTAAATAAGGTCATACATCTAGAAATCACACAATAAACTGGGGCTATTATTCCTCTCCTCATAGTTTTTGCTGTTATTATGACCCTGTGTGACTCTCCCTTCCTATCTAGGTAGTGTTATGATCATGACATTTAAGACATCTACAGGCTTCCGTCTTAACTCCCCAACAAACCTCACATCACATCAAGTTATATGTTATGATAGGGAATCACCAAGCTTCACTCCACCCAGAAGAAAAATAATTAGGCTATGAAGGGATTCAAAAAAAGCGGTTAGATTGTTTTCAGAACTGCTGATAAAATTCTGTCTAAAAAAAGTCTACAGCAGCCCAAACTAAACACCCTGTAAGGATTCAATGGCTGTACCCTAACTGTCTTTCCCACTCTTTTTCTCTCCATCCTGATGAAAATGCAGCAATGAACTCCAAGTGTACCACATAGGGCTTTTAAGTTTGAAGGTTTGCATGTCAGCTATGTTTACCTACCTGGGTTTTCTACAACAGAGTATCTCACAATGCTAAAGAATCTTACCTGATGCTCTTCTAAACCACTTGGGCTTCTTGTCCCATATAATGAAGAGATAGTAGGCAGGGACTCCAGTCAGAGTGATGACGAAGCCAACCCCAGTACTAAATGGGTCGGAATAAAGAGAAAGTGCAACCATGAAGAAGCAGGTGAAGGAGAACAGAGCTGGGATGAACAGAGGCACCTGCAACAGCACAGAAACAGAATTCAATGCTTCTGAGTTCAGCAGAGGGCAGGCTCAGGGTGACTCTGACCATCACGTGACCCACTTCACTGCTGAGCTTTGGTCATATGACCAGGTGACTGGCACCAACCTCCTTAGTTGGAAAGTTTCTTTCATGGGGCACAGACAGTGTGCTAAACATACTTCCTTAAATTTAATTTGATTTCACTTATAAGTCTTTGAATCGAACAAAATCTATGGCTAGAAAAGGGTATCGCCTTAGAGATGATCTATTCAAATTATTTTACTTGTGAAGTACCATTACCATTTATGGTTTTGATTTTCAAAGATTGGTTCTTTGATAATTATGATTAGAATCCACTTTATTGCAGAGTCAAAAGCACCAGCAGCTTGTTACATGGCAAAACCATTCAGTGCATATTGATTTTCTGTTGTGATTCACAAGAAGAACTGACAGGAATAAAACAGGCCAACTCCTATTCACCCACTAATAAAGATGCTGCCAGCATTAGGCAATGAATATAATTAGAGAAAAATTCTGACAACATAACTGACAACATTATCTGTGCTATTTCATAAGAGCAAGTAAATAGTCAGGTCAAATCAATCCGTGAACTTTCAAGGCTAGAGTTGACAAGCAGATTCTTCAGCCCTCCCCAGAGGAAATGTTAGTTCTGGTAAGTGGTCATTGGATTATGAGACAAACTCTTTCCCTATGTGTTTTATAATTTTTTTCCCTTTAAAGTGAATAATGTCAAGAAAGAACAATGTAACAAGTCACAACACAGAAGTACTTAAAATGCCTATTTTGGATAGAGGCATCCATTTTTAGAGTTTTCATTAATAAAGATTAATTAATTAATTAAGTAAGAGTGAGTCTGCCTCACTCTTTGAGAGCACAGCTCTGCAACTCTTCAGCACAAAGAGAGATAGAAGCAGCTCACTTTGATTACTGGATTCATCCATGAAAAATCAACATAAGAATTATCCATTAATACTACCACTCTTCAATAATGCTGCAGGCAAAGTTCAATATATCTCATAAAAAAATCAATGAACTCTTCTTCTCAAGTTAAAATAAATCCAAGGAAAAGGCACTACCTGCAAGAGTTAAACTTCTACTCCATAGGACACTGCTCCTACCCAGTCACCCCATCATCAAATCATGACAAAGGGAGGGCTGGGTATTAGGAGAAAGATTTATGCAAACCCATCTAGATTGCCAGGGTTACCTTGAAGGGACGATGCATATCTGGGCGTTTGTATCGAAGATAAATCAGCCCAGCGACTGCCAGCCCAATAAAAAGCCACCTGGCAAAACTGAAGAAATTCAAAAGACTGTTGAGGTCTCCAGAGAAGAGCATTATCATTGTCAGAGGATGCTGGAGGAGAAGGGGAGAAAATTCGAGATTGGTGAGTTAAAGGAGGATGTAACTGCTGAGAAATGGTAATATCACTACCCATTATTATTTTTTCAAACTATTATTTGTACTGCTAAACTAGCATCACGATCAACACCTAGACTCAACTAACTTCTTTTCCATAGTCTGCTCTTACAATCCTCTTATTAATAACAGTAGGAAAGTGGCATTATCAGTTCTTTTATCCAAGTGGTACTCTACATGGATGTGTTCATTGTTGTTACCTCCTTTTGCATTCCAGAGAAGAGGATGTGCTTTCAAAGAGTAAAAAAACCGGACTCTCAATCTCTCAAAATTGAAAGACTCAGAGCCTTAAGACGATTAGTAAATAACCAGTATTAAATATTAAATACACATCCAGTTGGAAAACCCAAAGAAAGCTCTGCATATGCTTCCTGATTAGCTCTCAGTGACCCCTGCAATGAAGCACAGCCAGGTATAGGTGAATCTGCTGCTCTCAACTGCAAAACCTTTTCTTTTTTTTTTTTTCATTTTTCTTTTATTATTCATATGTGCATACAAGGCTTGGTTCATTTCTCCCCCCTGCCCCCACCCCCTCCCTTACCACCCACTCCGCCCCCTCTCTCTCCCCCCCCCCAATACCCAGCAGAAACTATTTTGCCCTTATTTCTAATTTTGGCAAAACCTTTTCTTCTCCATGATTACTGTCCCCTTGTGCTGGCTACGTGTGACCCTCAAGATCACGGGAAAGAATGAAGCACAGAAAATAGCACAGCATTCCTGTGCAGGCGCACATGCCAAGGACAGTGTGACAGTTAGCACAGGCTTAAAATTACAACCCTCTTCACAGACTAATACATTCTGTTCCCACAAGTGACGTTAGCGTCCAGATTCCACACAGAGAATATGTGCGCTGTAAAAAAGGAATCTCAAGGAAACAGTCTGAAACAAATTAAATGCACGGGGGAAACAAAAAAGCTCAATGTATTCTATGGTGCTCCTGACAGCAGACTCAGTTGAGAAAACTGTTATAAAATCACAAGTAAAAATGACTATAGCATTGCTGATGGGTATCTCAGGACTTTTATACGTTTTCAGTCTTCTGTATCCCACATTTCACAAACCCGGGTCTTTACATAGAGAATTTTCCCACTTAAATTTACATCTGGGGTTTTTTTTTTCTTTCTTTCCTATAGGGTTGCTCTCCACCACCATCCCAGTTTTAATCAGAGAATCATTGCACTGTTTAGCTGTTTAGGATTTCATCAATTCTTTGAATAATTTAGTGTGCATTTCATTATAAGGGAACTCTGATGATGTATGTGGGTATTTGAGGAGAGTAGGTTTTAGCTGTACTTTAAGTAAGTATTGGCACTTTTTATTCAATATCTTTCTTCTTAAGGCTTTTTGACAATGACAGGAGCCACACTATTTTTTAGACAACACAGATTTCTACAAAGATGAAATAGAAGTGATGTAGTTAATCCCCCGAAGCATCAAATGGCATCAGAAACACTGAGAAAAGGGAAGGGAAGGGAAGGGAAATCTGCTGCCTCCCACACTCCACCATGGCATCCACAAAACCACCTTAGCAATGAATGAGAAAGTAAAGCACAACTTAAAATCTGGTCTGAATTCCAACTTGCTAACCTGCTACCTGAGGTTATAACTAGATATACTTGTTATTATGCATTACCAAAACAATAACAGCTGGCAGAGGAGTATGCTTGCGGACATGAATCATGGAGAGGATTTCTGGAAGGTGACCCTCTCGAGACGCAACATAGAATAACCTGATGGAAGAAAAATGTGGATGGAGTTGACTGCAGAATTGATCACTGCAAAGGGAAAATCCAGAAATCCCAGAGAAAATTTGCATCTTGCTCACACCAAATGGTTTGGCATTCTTAGCTGATTAATTAGGTTGCAATTTTCAGATAAAGCAGATAACAACTTAAGAAGTCTCAATTCAAGCTGTGCAAAATCTACCAACATATATTACTTTTTGAGGAGAAACATATCTGACTTAGAATAGGTCTCCCTACATATAAATAGCTGATGGTGAATTCAGTTCTAGAGTCCTGGTATTCTGTGTGCTGTCAATCCAATCCAGTAAACACACACACACACACACACACACACACACACACACACACACACACACACACACACACACACGCACACTCACACACACAGCACCAATAGTTATCTGATTGCGTTTCACATCTTGTCATATCGAAACAAAAGAGATTTTTGCATCAAACAAAAGGGATGCAAGAGCATCGGTTGGTGATTTCTGATATCTCTAACTTTACTCTTTTTCATGGGACCTTTAGAAAAACAAAAGATTTTTACTGCCAGAAATAAAATGCTGTTAAGTCTCTGTAGACACACTGTTTAAAAAATGCCACAAGCAGATGGTCCTGGCAATAGCAATGAGTAGACAGCAGTGCCCTCTAGTGGACAGAATCAGACATGCTGCTGATAACTGCACCAGCTACCGACTCACATGGCCCTTTAAAAACAACAGGACTGGAGGCACTGCTGCTTTTCTTTTTAAACTTATCCTCCATCACATCCAATCTCAAAAACAGAAATGTGTTTCTGGAAATACGTGAACTCACTCACCTGGAGACAGCAAATACACCACCATTCATGGAGCCAAAGCAGGAGAGGGCAACAAAGATTGGAACTGCTAATGAGAAACTTCCCAGCAGCCGCTCAGAAAAGGTCTGTGAAAGAAAGGACGAAACAAATTAATGCTTTTTCCAGAATGTGGGGGGAAAAATGAAACAATGTAGGCCAAACTTGTTCTGTGACTTTCTATTAGCCTGGTGATACACGTATGTTTTATAATCCTTCTTTTTGCTTAGGGTCAGACTGAGTCCAGAGACAATAATCAGAAGCAAGTAGCATGGCTTTGCGTGTGGCAGCGCTATGGGGCAAAGGTCTCGAGCAGCACCTTCTCTCCACCGTCAAAAAGCAGTGATCCGTTCACTGAGTCTTTATCAACTGTGATGGGCATCATCTCTAACTCTGATAAGTGGAAAAAGCTCAATTCAGAAGTTCTACTGTGGACACAGAAAATCCTTCTATATGATAACTTCTCTTTAGGCTGAAAGTCACATTTTTGTAGTGACGAACAGAAAGACATTGGGAAACATTGCTATTCATTTCCTATGTCAACCCCACTTCTAGAGGATCAATCAAACAATAGATGCCTGGGTCAATGATATCATATGTATACGAGCAGCTCTGAAAAATCTTTTTCCCAGAAAAATCATACTGGCTGAACCTCTGTCTGTGTAGGGAGTCATGCCCGCCTCCTCAGGTATCTGCCACTTCCTTCCATGGCTTACTACACAAAAGCCACAACCCAAACACCAGTCCACACAAAATATCAAAAGATAATATCAAAGATAAACAAAATTCTGATATTTCTTTATATGCTATCTTATGTGCAACATTGCAAATTTCCATGAAGGATGTGTGTGTTTAAAAAAAATATATGGGAAATTTTGAAAGGTGTCCTTGGTGCAGCTAGTGCTATGTAATTAAAGGGCCACATTTGCGCAAAATATAAGTGCTGCCCTTTGACTAGAAAGATGAGACGATTGACCCGACATCAATAAGCTTTGTCCATTTGATTGTGCGATAAGACAGGCAGCAGTGGTCAAAGTCTTTTTTAGTAGCGTGAACTCACACATAGGTTCACACAAAATGAGATAATTTATTCTCTGTGGACATTGCTGATATGAGGCAATAGTATTTTAAAAGGAATTGACATTCAGTAATGGGAATGTCACCAACTTTTTAAAAGTTTTCAGCCTCTATTGTGATAAGTTCGTGAGTGAATTATTCTCATACCAGCTAAAATTTTAAGTAAAATAAAAGTAGTTTATTTGTATCAAAGACTAGCAGTCCTATACCAGGGTCTTTGGGAACAAAGGTAATCCTGGTGTCAAACAAATTTGGGGGCTTGTTTTAAAATCATATGCATCCACTTCTTAGGGACTTAAATGCATGCACGTCTTTAAGATTCTGAGAAGGACTCCAACAACATCTGCCTAACTTTTAATCAGCCAGTATTTTCCAAATTTATTAATATTCTAAGACTAGTGTTCCAAGGATATACTAGAAAAAAAAAAAAAAAACTCTATGTAGTCCACCTGAAACTTCTTAAGTGATATTTTGGGGAAAAGATTTAAGTCAGAATTAGAAAAGTTTACAAACAGGAAATAGTTCAGAGTGGATTGCAATTTGCATACCTAAAACTGTGTTCATTTAGATTCAATTACTGTCCACCTGGCCTTAAAGACATGTTGGAAGAATGGTGCCTTCTATTCAGAAGGACCTGGCAGGTTTTCAAGCAGGTAAATGTGGAACTGTTTTGCCAGAAATTAAAAATAAAGAGAAAGCATAAAGAGTAGGATTTTAGCTGTATCAGTTAAATGGAATATGCCAAGGTGTGCTCTAAATTTCTAAAATATTCATTACCATTCAGGTCAAGAAAAGATTACTGAATTTCAAAACACTCTGTCCTGGAGGTAACTGCTATAAAATTGCATCAACTCATTAACCTAAATTCAAATTGGCATTTTTTCAAACTGGACTTACCACTGCCACTGCTTTGGACAGCAACAGCTCCTCAGCGCTAATGGTCGTAAAGTAGGCCACATTTGTTAGCACGTAGCCAACGGTGACAATGACCATGGATATACATATTGCAAGGGGGATGGTTCTGAAAGGCACAAGAATTGCTTATTAGTTATCTGGTGTTAGCCATTCCCCGGCACTAATTTGACTGAAGAACATAATTGTATCTGTGATCATTAGAGGCTCTGTTGGGGTATGTATAAACATTTCATCAGGACAAAGTACCACAGATTCCTTTGCAATTTAATAAGATTCTCAGTGCCAGATGCTTTGTCTGTCTTGTCTACTGCTGTGCCCCAGACCATATGAATCTGTCTCCATCTCCTACTCCATAAATGCTATAGCAGTGTTTCTCAAACTTGACCTTGCATCAGAATCACCTCCAGGGGCTGTTAAAACACAGACTGGGGAGCTCCACCCAGAGTTCCTGATTCAATAGGATTAGCCGTCCTCCCCAAGTTCCTGGGTGATTCTGATGCTGCTCTTCTGGGAACCACACTTTGAGAACCACTGTGCTACACACCTTTGTAATATTAATTCACTGCGTTGACACCTTTCTAAAACAAGTCTCAGAACCATTTCGCACATTCAGTGTTTTCCTGTTTAGCAGCTTCTGCCAATGAGTTAAGTGTGCGCTTTTGGAAGCATGTAGCAGGACCTGCCTACCCTCCTAAATGATGGCAATAATAATTTCGTGCTAATGCAAGAAACACAAGAACGACTTTGTACTGCCCTCCCGTGAGGTCAGAGGGACCCCAAGTCATGACTATCTTATAAAGCTGCAGTGCAGATTATCCCATGAAATTGAAGGTGACTTGCTGTGAATACAGGCGACCGAACAGAGCTGACACCGGGTGGCACCAAGAAGTGCCCAGCACAAATGCAATATTATGTCTTCATTGACTGCACTGGGAAAACCAGATACTGAACCCAACTATTTGAGTCCATGTTCCCAACCCACATTTCATGCCTAACACAACCATCTCTTCAGACTGTCCAGTTCTGGCAACTTAAACCTTCAATGACTTGTGCGCAAAGGCTGCTCATTTTTTCAGCAACAGTGCTTATCAGCCCTCGTGGATTCTTCACTTTGTTTGATGCCATTAATGAAGACCTCAATATAATTTCTTCTAGGATGAAAATACAGTTCAGAACCAGGAGGGGGAGAGCCACAGCCACCTCACCATCTATCCAGGCTGGGTGTGTTTACCACTCTAAGTCTTAGCTCATTATGCTCAACAGCAATATCCCCTGTTGAGAATAGGCCAACCTAGCCAGCAAGCAACTGCCATTCGTTATGCTGCTTGCATCCTGACACTTCCCTGATCCCAAAGCCTCCAGCCTTGATGGGGAAACACAATGACCTCTAAATCCTGGCATCCTAACAGGAAAGTAACAGATGCTTCCCTTCCCTGGTGTGAAGAGGGTCCTGTGGAATTTTCTGTTAACACGTTAGCATGCCTTGCCGGTTGTGATTGATAAATGCTAAATTTTAGCACAGAAAAAAAAAAATCACCGGGGCAATGAAATGCAAGAGGATAAATGGCATACAGCAAATTAAAGGTGAATTCTGGTTCTCTGAAAGAAAGTCTATGTCTGGAAATGCAAAAGGGAAAAAAAGAAAATGTGAAGATGTGTACACAGTTCTTCAACCACTCAGTGCATTATTTTCAACTTGCATTCTCTCAGCTTTTGTAACAGCCCCAGTGGGGAGTGAGTACTTTCTAGAGGACAGAGACGGAGATGGGGGTGGTGGGAGCCGGATAGGAAAAGACTGTAAGGAAATTCCCTGTAAGAAGATGAGCAAGTTCTGTTGAGGTTCCATTAGTGAGGTGCCATCGTTAAGTGCAGTAAGGTAACCTAACATGTCCAGGACAGGTGATACTGTCATCACAACAGAGAGAAATAAATCTGAAATTTGGGACTGTGGCCCTCCTATCACGTAACTGAGCTCTCCCTGCCACCCAGCCCAGTTCCTCTGAGTCAGCCTCCTGGCCTGTTCCCTCCCTACACTTTCCTGTCTCTCAGGGTAATTTTGTAAACTGAACTCAGCAGAGAGAATGCTAGAAAATCCACCCTCATAGGTGAGCTTCCCTTCTTTCTCAGTTTGCTGCTAACAAAAAATGGCTGCTGCATTTGCAGCTATTGGCTGCTGTGGGCCCAACATCTTATTAAGCACTTCACATACTTGCTTCATTTTATGCTTGGACGTTCCCATCAGCCCCATTTTATTTATGAGGAAATGGAGTCTGAGGGTTTAAATAAGGGCTACACAGCTGGCAAGTGGAAACTCAGAATTCAGGTGCACGTATATCCAACCTTGAGATCACTGTATTTTAACCACTAAAGTTTAGTCTCTCTCATAGTGTGGGTCTCTAAACTCTCTTAATCTTCAGGAAAATTATAGTTTTTGAAAATAAAGTAGATTGGAGCACTTGTATCAAGACTATATTTCTCATGAATTTGCTGACAATGTTTTATCTGCTATAGAAGGAGCAAAAACTTATCCTAAGATTTTTATCATGTTTCTGAAAAACATGAACTGTTAGTGACAAGAGAATGTTTTCAAATAGTTTTGCTGTTTAGGAAATAGGTTTTAATTTTCATTTATTATTCAAAGGAAAACACTTGATAATTTTCCCTAGCAAGTTTTTATGGAAAAGGGAAGAAAGTATGCATGTTTGTCAAATAAGCAGAACTGGATTGTTAACAGTTTGCTGTTAGTCAAATGCACTATACAGATATCGGGAGAGATGATCACAGGAGATTAAAATACAAGACCAGAGGGGGGTGGGTCTAATCTTGTTGCATTGCACAATGTACCCAGGATTCTCTGCATGAGATAAAATGAAGGCTGGAGAGGGTGTGGCAAAAGCGTCACTAGCATTTGTCCTCAGGTTCCATTTCGCTCTGAGGAAAGGAAAGGAGGTGGAGCAGTTCTGCCTTGGTATAAACAGTGTCATTTACAGAGGAGAGTGGTTGACATGTGCAGGGCATGGTGCCATACATTAACTCCTGGGCTTCAAGCATCAAAGCTGAGAGCCACTGGGTGACCTGATAAAAGCTATTAGGCCATTGCTGGAGCAGTCATTCTGGTGGCTTTAGATGCAGAGGGCAGATAAGCATGCTTACTAACTCAAGATTAAGGTAAATGGCACCAGAAAATAAAAGGAATTAGAGGAAGGACTGGTGAAGCCATTGATATTCCAAAGCTCCTGTGTTATTGTGACTTATCACCAATCCTAAACGCAACGAAGGTATCACCTTTATGCTGAATGAAAATGACTCACACCTGGGAGTTCTACCCTTTCTCAAATGTTTGAACATGTTCCTATGAGTGACAAAACACAAATGTATTGGAAAGATTTTATTCTATCTTCAAATATATGAGTCATTTCAAATCTTTGTAGAAGGAAGGAAAGTACGGACAAATACAAAATTCACAACAACCCATTGCACTATGAGGTAATAGTCCCATTTTTTAAACAAGGAAATCAAGGCTCAGAGACATTGAGGGACACTTTCAAGGGCACAGAAGCAATGAAAGGGCTGGAAACTGAGCTCAGGTCTTCTAGCTCTTGGCTCCATACACATGCTAGAACTTGTCCTGATACCCATCCTGGCTGTGTGCTGCCTACTGTTACTATCCCTAGATAGTAACAGATCCGACAGGATCTGCAGGATCTTTACATTCTGATGAAGATGCATTTTATATAAATGATCAAATATCTCTGATGCATTTCAAGCCAACTGTATTTTTCTATGTACCTAACAATCACAAAATAGTATAAGATGTATTTTTAAAATATGTTAAGCAACTCTAGGAAAGAGCTTCAGAAAAGACTGTCTTCCAGTACTTCATGTTGGTTAATGTGACTCCTACAATGAAAACAGAATGAGTAAACCTGGCTTGATTCTCTAGATTGTCAGCAAAACATGAAGGTTAACGAATTTCTGATAAACAGACCACATAAGTAACTTTCTAGCCACTTAACTTTAGGGTATTCCAAGATTATTTAATAAGTTGAACAAAATCTTCTGAGAAAATTTTGAATCAATTCCAAAATCCCCAGTGTCAGATATACACAATGGGACCATAGAACCAGTGGCCCTCACACATTTCCAAGTATCCTTGTGCCATGGACCCAGGCTGATGGCCATCGGTTCTCTTAAAACCTACTCTTGTACTCTCTGGAATGTTATAAAAGCCAGGCTAATGTTTTGCCTTTCTATTTAAAAAGCATTACTATTTTAACACATGTATCTGTCATTCATGAAAAGGGAAGGATGAAAAAAAAAAGGAAGGACTAAGAAAGGCAGGAAAATGGCAAACATCTTAGTATGTGAAATGCAAAAAGCAAAAAGAAAACCAGAGATTTTTCAGGGATTTTTAAAATTCTTTTGGAAAATTAGGGACTATTTGCTTATATATAACTGAAATGCAACTATGATTCATTTTTAAGTAAAATATTTATAATTATATTAAGTACCTTTAGATTCCAAGCACTTATTTTAGAGCCATAGCTGTTTCATATCTTCTTGATAGTGACCCTGTAGAGCCTTTGAAAACTTCTCTATAGCTCTGACCCAGAAATAATCCCGTCCTTTGTTCCTCTCCTTTTGATCCACAAATTTACTTTCTTTCTATAGAATCACTGGGCATTTTATTACCAGTGCTAATCTATTCAGCCTGTCAAACTTCACTCATGTGTTACAGACAAAAAATAAATGGGTATTTTTTAAAAAATCAATTCATATTTTTCATTCATGTGATTTATTTTTCTTCCTACATTTTTACTTATTTTTCTTTATATGAACTCTCCAGAGACCCCTGTACATAGAACTGTCCCATCTAACTATGTGACTTCTGACATTTCTAGCAAGGATTGAATTACAAGTAAGAGTTTTTTAAACTTAAAAATATTAAACTACAGATGAGTAGATTCACACAAATTTCTTTGTGTGTTTTCAGTGATTTTGCCTCATCATCATTTCTCTAGCTAGACATTCTGAGTAAGAATTTGGCTATTAAAAAATTACAAACACATTTGAGGACACAAAGCAAGTAATTGAGGGGCAAGTATA